GAGGAGGAAATTTTTACAGTTTCTCACTAGCTATATTTTTATATAGATATAAATTATATGATGGATCTAGGAGGAGGAAATTTTTACAGTTTCTCACTAGCTATATTTTTATATAGATATAAATTATATGATGGATCTAGGAGGAGGAACATTTTACAGTTTCTCACTAGCTATATTTTATATAGATATAAATGATATGATTGATCTAGGAGGAGGAAAATTTTACAGTTTCTCACTAGCTATATTTTATATAGATATCAATTATATGATTGATCTAGGAGGAGAAAAATTTTACAGTTTCTCACTATTTATCTTTTTATATAGATATAAATTATATGATTGATCTAGGAGGAGGAAAATTTTACAGTTTCTCATTTGGTGGCGAGAGATAAGTAATATAATTGATTCAGGAGGAGGAAGGAGTTTGGTTCAGATCTTCCGCTTCTTCATTTTCTATTTAATACCTTTATGAAATTTAATTAAAAAGCCTGTGAGCTTAACGTAATTATTTGAAGTTTTACTCTTTTTAATTTATCCCCTTAACTTTATGTTTTGTCAACTTTTGCGACTTGTGGTTTTCTTCCAGTAATCAATTAAATTATTCTCAAACACTTCGTCATGACTGTATGCCAAAGAGTAAAATATTTTGGTTTGGTTCATTCAACTAGACTGTGCCTTTTTCTAGATTTTCTGGACGCCTTTTACGAGTATGAATACAATTGGAACAATATACAAGTGTAATCAACGTTTTACCAGCTTCCACCGCTTGAAATACTGGACCAGTGGATAAGTTATTGTTTTGAGCAATAACTAACAATAAACCTATTTTAGGGTTACAACACGACTGAGATGAACACTTCATAAAAGGTTATCATCAGTGTTTTGTTTCGTCATCAGACACAGCCAATCAATATATATTCCATAGAACTCACTGTCTTTCATGTTCGCTAATAAGGAGCTAATCCCTCGCCGTTTAATTAATGAGATACATGAGAGACCACTAGAACATCTGAATTCATCTTTCTTGTCGATTTTAATCCTTTATTCAGAACTACCTACCAATTTAATATACTATAACGAAATAGGTGAGAGTTTCAAGAACAGCATGCCAGAAAGATGTAAAATATACTGTTTAAAGAAAACTATATATTATAATGAATTAGATAATAAAGTTTAAAAAAGCTGCAAAACATACTATACTGATGTAAAATATACAGTTTAAAGAAAATAATGTAGTATAATAGAGTAGATAATACAGTTTAAAATATTGACGAACATTCTATACTGAGGTAGAACGTACAGTTTTAATTAAAAAGCTTCATAACCAGAATGAGGTAGAACGTACAATTAAAAAGCTTCATAACCAGAATGAGGTAGAACGTACAATTAAAAAGCTTCATAACCAGAATGAGGTAGAACGTACAATTAAAAAGCTTCATAACCAG